TCAGACGGTTAACTGTGGAAGATAGAAACGCAATTGTTAACTCATTTCGAATAATATTGTAATGTAACTCATTACATTAGACCATGAGACCAAACATAATATTATCATTTTTTTTTTTTAATTCGCGTATTTCCCTTTTAGCAGTAGTAACGCGCAATAGGCTACTGAATTTGAACTTCGAATTTGAGAGCCAAAGGGGCGGGGGCTGATCTCGCCCAGAATACGCGTCGCCATTTCGCTTTATGTTGGTGTACCTCTCCTTTCATTAGAATATTCTTCTATTTTACAGTATAAACCGGAATCAAGTTATATGTCTTTACAATATTAAGCGCTACCAATTAATTTATGCAGGAAAGCTTTCATATTCATCGATTATATTTTCACATATTAATTGTCAGCTCGGTAATTGCGAAGCATAAACATTTCGGTATTACCTTGAAAATGCGCATTAATAATGACAATAAAAGGAGGTAATCTAAAAAAAGCACGCACGACAGAGATAATGGAAGGTTGGGTGTGTACGAAAGAGACAAAAGAATCGCTCATTGCGCCATTGCGGGTGTAGACAAATCGGATTTGGACATTAACCATTTGTTATACGTTCTGTTACATTTCCGCGTTTAATGTATTCAACGCGTATCAATGGGATGTACAAAAACATTTGTATACATAGTGAAAAATATTAAACATGTAAACACAAAGCGCAAATGTATCAGCAGTCTTCAAAGGGAACAGCACGGGATTTAGTGCAGCCCACGTAAATTTGCATGCAAGGGTTACATATTTTATCTATATAGTGCAGAGCCGATCTATTAGGTCTGCAGTGCGCATTGTGCAGTGCTGCTAAGAAGGAAAAAAGGATGCGGGATTCCTTTTATGGTGGTGTAAATGATTGGTCTCTGCGCGTCTGCACTGCAGCAACGTTACAGCCGTATAAGGGAGCACAGTCGACCTGTTAAAAGATTATTGGTTCGCTAGTATCTGGGCAACCGTCTTTACCGCGGGCAAAGAACTGCACGATGCGCAAAGCCAAATTACCGACGACGAAAAAAGCCTCACGCATGAGACAAAAACATTTGGTTTTATTATCTACTCAGCGTCACCACTATTGTTTGTTCATTTCTTTACATTACTTTTTTACATTTTTCTTTTAAAATTGTGCTAGTGTTGTATTTGAAAGGGATGCCATATAGAGAATATTAATAGGAAATGACGTTAAGCCCATTATTTGTGAAGTAGACTATTCACAGTAACGATTTTAACGACCGTGGATGTCAATTTAATACACATATTAAGAAAACAAAGCTGAAAACGACTATAAAGATGTTTAAATTTTGAAATTAATTCTGATGCTATGTATTACATTTTATACATTATACCGCAGCCCCTGTCTATGTATTTGTTTCTTTTGCTAAGACATGTAATCCTATGTGCAGACAAGGCAACTTATACGCTATTGGAATGATATGTATCATAACCTTAAATAATATAGGCATTCATGGTTTTGACAGACTTACTACCATAGTGAAACATCAGAAATGTAAACATCACACCATTGTTTTTACTACGGCCACATGCAAATGAAAGGCCTGCTTCATTGTTTTAGAATATTGCCTAGCTACAAAGTCAATGAACTAATAAACACGTTTAAATACCTTAATTATACATAGGATCTGGGGAACGTGCGGCGTGACTTGTACGGTTCAGTCAGAAAATATACGTTTCAATCGTTAATTTCAAATCGAAAACCATTCAAATGTTCCTGAGTGGATAATAATGGACACGGTAGACTGTCAGCCTAACCTGATTTTGACGATATGAGTGTTCGACTATAATCGAAATTAACATTAGGCCTCCCCAGACCAAAAATGAAATGCAGTTTTATGTAGACAGACAGCCATAGTGCCCTCAGCAGCTCAGGGCATGCACGGAATTTGAGCAGGTAGAAGGACAGAGTTTTCGCATCCAGTCAGATTTTTCAGTTTTATGAGACAACAGCTTTACAGGATTATCAGTGTATACCAATGTAAAACCGCCTTATGTAAATTAAGTAAACCATATCGATCAATGAAAGTGTTTGTTGTTTTGGCCTTTCCAGCCTAGCCAAATAATTATCTAACTCAGTGTATGCAATAATTCTAGATTCCTAAATGAAATCAGACTGACGCAGGTTATCCCCTAATAGCCCACTGATATTCGTAGAACACACACACCTACGGCTGTGTTTAGCTGTATTGCCATGTCAGTCATGAAAAGATCACTCAGTGGTTCATCTTGATTTGGGATCTAATCATCGAATTAAGTAAGGCTAGAGTAAGAAATGCATATGGAAGCTTTCTATGGTTAATATAAACCACGCCGTTCCTTAAACTGGAGACAAAACAAGCACCAAAACATGTAATCTGCAACTTATTATCAGTGTCATAACTGACTGTCGAATGTTTAAATGTTAAAAATGGATGCATGTGTTTTTATTTAGAGAACATGAATGACTATATACCGCGCATTTCCGCAGGATAAGACAAATTGGGAAGTGTGCTCTCCGGCTTCTGAAGCCGCAATTCCTCAAATTAATACTTAATTAATCTTCTAATTGCTTTTCTTTTGCTCAGCTAAATTGCTTAACAGCTTTTTGATAACGCTGTCATCAGTTATTGATTGGGTTTAACATTCAGTCATTTCAAAATAACACGTCTTAAGTCTGCATTACTCTCTTATTGAAAACATATTATATTCGTAAAACTACGGTCTCAAATAACACTCTTTCAACGAGACAGACAGCCATTTTCTTTGGTCCGCTCGAAGAAACCTATCGAAAGCTGCCGTTTTCATGGGCTCTATGAATTAGGAAATGGTCGATTCAAGTAAAGCGTAGTAGTTGTGAGGTGCAACGAATCTAGCGCTTAGTGCTTCGCGTTGCCAACTCCTCAAAAGGGAGTCGTTATGAGTAAATTGTAAATATTAAGCTTTTCTTTTTTGTCACTATAATATATCAAACTAAATGTCATTTTTTTTGTTTAGAGGAGGGTCTTCCAGTCTTAAAGACGGGCGACTGTATCCTTAGGCACAGCGCTTAATTAAGGAACTTTCGACCTGTATCCTGTTGTTTCTCGGTCATTATCGGAAATATAATTCAGTGACATTTTCAGGTAGTCTGAAATTTCGTCCCATTTCTAAAACAAATCATACTTTATCTTGCTATTAAAAGCCTATTTATATTAAAGGTTTGTAGTCTTTATATGTTCACAAGTTGCACAATAAAAAAAAACGCCCTGGTTATGAATGAATTATTTCGGGATTTACTCGAAGAAGCTGGCGAGGGTGAATCAGGTGTTCATTGAACCAGAGAGTCTGATAATTACAGGTTCAGATCCCAAAAAGTGGTGTACAGCTTTCTCCTTCAGCAACGTGCTTGACCTCCAGAGCAATATCTTGTTGTACAAATCAACGGGGAAAAAAGTGGTTTGGGGAACACCTCAAATATTACAATTATAAAGGATTCGGTTAGATTAGATTACGTCATTTTGGGTTTGTGTATCTGATTATTTCCCTTCTCATCATACGCATATTGTGAAATAATTATTTGGCTTGTTTATATTCCGACCTTTCCCCTCAAGCTGGAAAGATAACAGAAATACTTATAGAAAGTTGATCAGATGAAACATTCATCATTTATCGTCAGAACGGCGTAGGAGAAAGCTAGTTGTCATGATATCGTCGCCATTCGGCTGTTTGAGTCACTGGCATCTAGAAATTAAGAGCTGAAGTGTAAGAAAATGGCCTTTAAAATGAACACTTTTCCGAGGTGGTCGTTGAAGTGATTCTTCTCCAAAGTAATAACATTCCATTTTATTTGGTGACATACCTAAATTCTGCACACAAAGTTCGTCGCAGATTGAAATGCACGCATTTAACGACAACAAACGTCGAGACTTATAAGATTTCACACCTTTAATAGTGCTTTTGTCTTGCTGATGTAAAATCTTAAGTTTTATCGTACCCATACCTATAGCAGGAACAGGAGACGAACAGGAGAGCAAGACTGCATGAGAAAAGTTAGAAATCTGGCTATGTTAAACTCGTATTATTGGAGCAAGTCGTCTAAATATATAATGCACTGGTTTATTATTAATTCAGGAGACTGTGTCCGTTTAAACTGAACCCCTCAGTGGAATTTCCAGTACTGAGGGTAAATTCAAATGCGGTGCATAACTGAGTCATTCGGGGATCTTCTCACTATAGCCTATTCGTAGCGAATTACAGTTTTTTCTGTAGAGTGCTGTATATCCAACCACTGTGGGATCATCACATTGTTTTACTTATCAAATCAGGAAACGTTTCCAATCCACGTTACCCGAGTTGATCCATCAAAATATATAGACCACTGATGCAGCGGTGGTAACTGAAAAAAAATATATGCCCTACGTTCATGATCGTGATCGTGTTCTCAACGACCCTGAAAGGTTACGGCCTGTATGATAAGAGCTAGATGGATATTTAAGACAGAGATAAATAATCCTCTTAAGTTAACTGGAGAAAATGTGGCTGTTGTATTTTAATTTCAAGTGACGATAACCACGCAGTGGAGAGAGGGATGGTGATCAAATATCAGGCGCTGGGGAACCACTATACTTTGCACAGCCAGTTAAGCATGTTGATTTCATAATTAATACGTAAACGAGAATGTAAAGGTCACCAAGGGTGATTAAGTAATGAAACTAAATTTAAAGGCAGCTTTAATGACACTATGAATTTAAGGGGAGGGTAAACGTGTACTTTCAGAAGTATATTAGGCTGCATAATATTTAAAAAAATATCCAGTTTCTAAAGGTCTACAACCCTGTACGACAGGAAGTGAGATTAGCTCCCCAGCCCTTGTTAAAATGCAAATTACTTGCGGTTTCTTCTAGATCGAGCGAAAGACTGCTGCCGATCTGTTTAATTCATGTCGGTGTAACGTACGATGCGCTACATAGAGACAATAGGTACGTAAGCCGGCATTTCCTTCCTTGCTTTTTTTTATTGCAAAACATATAATAAAAGTCATCCAGTTCAGTCTTAACAAAACAAAGTGCTAATTTACCCCCTTTAAGCAGTTTCACTGTTTAAAACTGAGCAACCAAGTGCAAAAACAAAAACAAAAAAAAAAACATATGACAACTGACCTTTGAAAGATTACAACAGATTGAAAAAATGTTTCCGGTACACAGTGCATTGACTGTATACTTCCTAAAGGCAATTAAACTCAGTTCAGAGATGAAAAGGCCACTGAAAAGTAAACTAGAGTCAGAAAGAACATAAAACTCATTTGGGAGAAACACTGACTATGACAGATGACTCATAAGTACTTGAATTCCTAATAGGATGTCATGTTTGTTTGTTTTTTCCCCACAGTCAATTGGTGAGCTTTTCACTGAAAGTCATTTTAATGATGTTAGCAGTAAATCTAAATCAGTTAAAGTGCAAAGGCAGTTTGGTCTAATGGTCATCATTACGAATATAACCTTGGTCAACACCTGTCCTGACGCAACATTTGGAGGACAGTTTTGGTACCTTCTCTCAACAGAATTTCACCACTTCAGCAACTACCAAAGTCATGATGTGTAACAGAAAAAGGCCCTTTTTTCTTAGTCCAAGTTGCATACAAAGTCCATGGTACTGGCAAACTGCCATGCTTAACCACCACTTATTCTGAAACAGAAAAATAACCACAACACTATGACAGAAGTGCCTTAATTTATTTTTAAAGTGACGCATCTTACAGATGCCAAATCATCTTTAAACTTTGAATCAGCAGAGGTTACATTCAAGGATCTTACATTATATCTATATACATTTTCCAGGCATCTCTAAATAGGTTTTAAAACCTGTTAAATTGTTATCACTGTATGCAATCCCAGAATTAGTGAAGTATGTTCTTCATGAAGACCTTTCTCCTGGATAGTTTTAATAGTTTAGGTGACTGAGTAAAAAATACTAATAACATAATTTATCTTTCATATCAACTCCTTGCCTATGCCAGAGAATGTTGCAATGTGTCTGTTCTGACAGCTAATTGGAACCAAGAACCCTTTCTATACTTAGAGATCATGAAGAAAAGAAAATCCTACAATGCTTGGTGGCCATGGAAGTAACACTACTGAGCTATACATCAGGTCATGACATTCGCATCTGACCACCTTCTGCACATGCATATGTACGTACGTGACAATGTGTGACCTACAACACCCCCACTGCAGAAAGAGAAATGACACAAAGACGTGCAGAAAGAGAAATGACACAAAGACGTGCAGAAAGCACAGTCCTTTTTGATTTGACCAACTTCCAAAACAAGGCCTGTAAAGCAATAATCATCATCAAGGTCTAATGGAAGCCATACACAAAAAAACGCAAATACATAAAAAGTATATTCTGTACAAACGTAAGTGCTTTTTTCCTGATCCCTGATGTCCACTGATAACTACCAACTTAGCTTCATATTCCTTAATTAGAAATAAGGACATCATTAAGTATTAGAAGATCCAAATAATTGTTTGGTATATTCTAATTTGCAATAATGGTCAAACTCGTACCATTAGAATGTATTCTATCAAAAAAGAATTTTAAAGTAATTTATTTAAGCCTACTGAGCAAATACATTCACAATCATGAGGGCACCCCTTATAGTTACCCCTGCAATGTCAGAGAGCTTCACAACATGTCTCAATAACGTTATCTACTTTCCTATCACAGATCAATTCCTCCACATATTAAAGTCAGTAGTCTTCCGTTTCTCTGTAGTCAGTATGTTAAACAGTGATGTATTCTTTAAATGTCACAGTAAGACAGTTTGCAGTGACGTCAGTAATAATGATATTCCCCAGGAAAGGTTTAAAACACGGCTTGGGGTCCTCTGCCTCTGCTGCTGTTGTTGCTTTTGCCTGGTCCACAGGCGTCAGGGACTTGGGGGGTGTACTTGCTTCTGCTCTGGGCTTCACACAGCTGAGGTCGATTGGCTCCTCTGGAATGGAGTCTAGAAAGTCGCAGTCCGGGCCTTTGCTACAGTGGAAGCTGCTGAGATTCAGGTCCATGGGCTTGGTCTGGGGCACCGAGGACACAGAGCTGGGGGTACTGATGCTCCTGGAGCTGATAAACTTCTTGTACCTGCCCCTGTCCTCCAGAGGCTCAGAGAGTTGCCGCTTCAGGGAAGGGCTGGTGCTTAGGCCCGGCTGATTAGTGCTATGGTCCAGTCGTGAGAGCACACCCATCTCAAAGGGCCAGGGGGTCAGGTTGGGCTTAGTAGTTAGCTGCAAAGGCTGATCCTGGGGGAGATCTGGCTGACTCCCACACTCATCTGTTTTCTCCCCTTCTGTAACAATAGTATCCTCCTTGGCAGAATGTTCCTGTTCCACAGAAGACTGTGTGAGAGGCAACGGAGTGGCTGACATTTCAGTTTTATTCTCCTTCGGGAGCCCATTGTCCTGGACCGGTTTCTTGACAAGTTTAATCTTGTCTAACAAGCTCTCTGCACTGCTGTCTTCTGATAGCTTCGCATCATTTGGTCTCTCTGCACTGTTAGGGTCTCCATTCTTAATCCGAGCTGACTGCATGCCGTTTTCCATGTACTTACTCATTACAATTACAATACGGCCATTTTTGTTTTTGTTCTTCACAATTTTCATCTTGCTGCTGATGCCATTGGGGACAACAGGCTCCTTGTTGTTTGAGGTGAGTGTTGGTTCACTGCCATTAAATTGCCCTGGCAACTTCTTCATGTCCTCTGTCAAACTGCTGATTTTGTTTAAGCTTATGTCCTTGTCACAAAGCCATTTCTCTTGCAGTGCCGAGGGCAGGTTCCATCCTTGACTGTTAGATTCTTGACCTTTGCCTTCTCTGGTTTTCTGGTACTGTAAATCATACATCTTGGGGTCCGGCTGATAGTGATGATGCTTTTTGCTGTTGAGCTGATAATAAAATTTCTTCTTTCCATGTATCTGCTGCTCCACTTGGCCCTCCTTGCAGTTGGGCTGATACTGGTGGTGTTTCTTGCTGTTTAACTGGTACTGCTGCGTTTGGGATCTGTGCATTGGGACGGCATCGGATTTCTGCCGACTGTCTTCATCCAGGGAAGACCCCTGCAGCCCAGAGAGGACGCTGGATCTTCGTGCAAAGGCAGGTAGCTAGAACCACAGAAGAAGAGAGAAATAAATGTAAGCGAAAACCTAAAAATGACCAGGAAATACATATTTACCTGCAGTAAAATAAGTCAATCTTGCATAAATCAGAAAAATATTATTTTATAGTAGTTATTCCAACTGGCTCCTGATGTGTAAGTTCTCAGTTGACCAACTAAGAATGGCAAATAGATTTACAGCCTGACCATTAAACCGTCCAATCAGAAGGCTTGACACATTCTCCTGCTTCAGTGCCTCATCCGTGTGCCCCATGGCCACTCTCAGCAGACTTGTGCAAATTTGTGTTCCCATGACCTTAGCTCAAAGGAATTCCAATGGCTGTGTCATGCTGGCTCCACACCACAAGTGCATGACAGTGAATCACACATTATGTGCAGTGTTCTGGGAGGGACGAGTGAAGCTTTTCCAGTTACAAAGTCACACATGTCTTTACCTTTGGACTAGAGGCATACATCATAAGTTAAACTCATCTTCCAAACTTTGAACTATTAAAGAAATGGCAAAACCTTGGAGGAGAATGCTCAAAAAACAACTGTAAGAAACATAGTTGCTTATAAAAATGCTAGAGCAGTCCAAACAAACCTTTGCAGTAGGAATGCATTAATGCAAGTTTCTCAGTGTCAATATACTCAAAACAAGGCCAGATTGCAGGTAGATCCAAGCATACTGCAAATCAAGAACTGGAAACAGGGTCACTCACATCAGAAATCAGAGAAATGGTGCGACAGATACCTGGACTAAGAGGTGCTTGGGTTTGGGTCCCCGTTTGCGATATCCCAACAGCTGCTCCTGTTTCTCCCTGCGAAAATGAATGTTAAATTCTGAGCCAACAGTGTACAGTGACACCACAGTGTGCTATAAACTTTATACTGCGATTGCAAAAGCACAAAAAAAAAGATGCTTATCTTGTTACATTCCTGCCAAAAGAGGTGCTGAAAAGGCCCACAATCATGGATATGAATATGCAACAACATGACTAACACGGATTTTTAGTGCTAATAGTTCAGGAAGAGGCTCTTCGCACATACGCCAGGTTCCAAGGTCCATTCTCTGTAGCAATCATTGTATTGTAGGCTTCCCTCATTGGTTAAAATGTCCACAGTTACTGCTGAAACGAATACATCCCCTACACATAACAAGATCAACAGCCTGTTCTGTCTCTTTACCATAACTTACAAATTTACATGTTGACAAGCTGGCATACAATAACCACAAATGCCTTTAAACCAAGAACGAGGCCTAAATGTAATTATCTGTGTTTATAGAGTTAAGTCCTAATAATGAAAATATGATCGCAGCAAAATAGTCTTCATCTAGGCTACACAACAACGTTCTTCAACTTCCAGAAAAAAAAGCTATCTATGTTGTTTCTGCGACATAATGAATGTATTTAATAAAAAAAAAAAAAAAAAACTTATTTCAGGACAGATTCACTTTCTTAACAATGCCTTTTCACTGACACACAATCAACGTTTGCCCCCTATTTTAGCAACCAAGCCTACAAGGCCGCTAAATCGAATTTAATGTGGCCTAAATTGCAATGGCGATGAGTCCTACTTCTGTTCACACTGCTACACACATGTTCCGCAGCACCATTTACATTATACAGGGTGCCTACAATCCGACACCGCGTTATTAAAAATGCTATCGTGGTCATTGCTATTATTGCAAAAAACATCACACTTCTTATGTACCTCGACAACGACTACGAATGTAGCCTTTGTATATTGGCGCCCTCCGCAACACCGCAGTCGTATATAACTCTATAAACTAACGAGCCGATTCAACACACTGATCGTGCGAGGGGGGAAAAATCAATTAAAATCCATACTCGGCATCCCCTCCCCCTTCCAGCATGCCTCGCACATACTACAGTTCTAATTAGAGTGACGACGAGTGTGTATATTTTCATAACACTGTATTTAAGCTACTATCAGGCTCCCCGGAGAGCAATGCCATTAGCTAAAATAGAAGCTCCTTCGAAATAGACGTGACGACGGGTACAGATAAAGGTACCGGTCAGCGCCTGCTGCAAGTTACTGCTAATCAGTAACCTGTCAGTATCCAAACGCTGGATGGAAACAACTAATGACATAGAAAAGCCGGGTGAAACTTTCTGCTCCATAAGGCAACAGCACGTACGACTTATCTTAGGACGTCAAGTGAGGCACACCCCCTATTACTGACGATCCGGCAATTAGACGCACATTGAGATCCAGCCTCCGGCCCCTCGGCCATAGGATACTCTGCTATCGGGACCTGTCTTCAGACTTAAACTCCCAGGATAATTCTTCTCTGATGCCACATTTTGTGAGAAGCCTACAAGCGTTCCGAGTCAATTTATATGTTGATTATGAACCCAATTCCCTCCCTCCCCCCTCTCTGCTCTCTCCATCTTTCCCCAAAGCGGTATAAATTGAAGGAAGGGCGAATGGAAAAAATACCACATGCGTTTTAAAGATGGGAAATTACTCCGATTAGACTGTTCGAAATTAAAACAGCACACACTTTCACATTTAACTCAGCACATTCTGATTATTCCGAGCACAATTAAAGGCAGAGTACTATTTAAGCAAACGTGCTTTACAACACGTTATTTTTAGCCATTTCATCCGGAAGCGCTGGATTATATTCGGGAAATAATAATAACGTCGTTGTTTATACATGTTCCCGGTTAAATACACGTTATACAAGTTAAGCATTTTAAGTCTCACACTGACATTCCTATCATCCTCTTAAGTCTTGTTGGTTTCTACACAAGCAGCCTTTGTTTCAAAATATCTAATCTGTCGAGGTTGTCAAAAGTTCCTGGTGTATAAATAATTGTAGAAACAGTCTATTCTCCCGCGACCCTGACCAGGATAAGCGGTTGGAAGATTAATGAATGGATGGATGGATGAAAAAGTCTATTCTTTAAGAGACGGGCACAGTGAAGCAGGCAGCGCCTGTAATAGCGTCGAGCCCCTCCTCCCCTTTTGACTATATATGGTCGACATGTCAAGTCGAGGCGGGCTGTTTTTCCTCACCTGTTTTGGAAAGCGACTAGGAGTCGCGGGTCCAGGATGTTCTCTTCAGGTTCCCACGTACTGTGTCTATTAAGAGCCGAACAGAACCATTTATTATCACAGCATTAGTAGGGCCTTCAGATCCCACGTATTTATGCTTTCTGTCAAGCGTCTGCTACAATATTGTTTATGTAGGTGGCAGAGTAAGTTATTAAGTATACAAACATAGCCATCTAAGGTTAAAAGAGTAACATTCCCAATTGTTAAAAAAATCAACACTAACGCGCCCTTGTGTTTACCCGTCAACCGCCATGTTTATTTTCCATTTAAACACCAATTATTAAAACGTTCTTCCTAAAGAAATCAATTCAACTGAAACGAGGGCAGCGTACAATTTGTAGAAAGCAAACTGAAAGAGCCGGGTAAGGCGATATTATTCACGTGTTCATTTTGATATCCCATGATAGAGAAAGCTATCAGAGGCTGTAAATAAAAAATATGCGAGGGGGGTGTTCACACATTCTCCATTCCCTAGCATAAATTAGTGATGGCATCCTTACATCGAGCCGCGCTCTTTCTCGCGCGCGCACACACACACACACACACACACACACACCCTTTCTCACCATACGCGCACGCACAGAAAAGCACACAAGCGCGCGGACACACTCTGGTGTACACACACTGACACGTACGTGTGTAAAGCCATACTATACGGAATACGTAGCACCGGTTTGGATACATATATGAGATGATATATGATTAAATCTACATGATAACGTGTGGATAAAAGTTTGACACTAAATATTGACGTACTTAGGAGACCACCCCCTCCACTTCACCAGGTATTCTGTTCTGCCCTGGAGAGAAAAAAAAATAATGGACAACATAAGTTAATTACGCAGATAGCTATAGAACATTTCAACCGCTTCGAGCTGAGCGTACAAGGTTACAACTACAGCAGCTTAACACGAAGGCAGCCGCGACCGCGCTTCGTGCAGAACAACACAAGTGCCAGGTCGCTTCTGTCGCTACCGATAATCTTGACAGATCTACGTCTTATTAAGAGTTTTAGTGAGATACCTTTCTAGTCCGCTTCTTTTCGATGCTCTCCACCGCAAAGACGTGTTCTCCCGCGGCGGGTAGCTCCATTCTCGCCGCAGTGCACGGGTTTGCAAAAGACAGACTGCGGGAGGCTGTCACTTGGTGGCTTCGTTTGGTAATTTTCCTCTTATTTGAAGGGAAAAAAACGAAGCCTCCCTCTTCTCTGTGTGCCCCTCTCTCACACGTTCGCTTTAGTTCCCGTTGGCATAGGCAGCGATACACGGTACGCACTCTAGTAGAAGCGGTGAAAAACAGTATATGCAAATAGCCCGTACTGTGACGTCAGCGCCACGAGGGGGGAGGGCAGGGGCTGGGACGAGGTTTTATTCTCTTGGATGTAAGCGCGGAATTGAACTGCAAGAGGGAGCTATGGAAATAGCACTATTTCCCTCAAAACAACTTACTTGCTAAAATATACTTAGTATTACATTGGTAAACAAGCATGGCTTCTTCTAGCAAGAAAAAAGTCGTTTCCAATTCCCGAGCGATCAATGGAAATAAATTAGTGTTGTACAAGTCAAATGAACTATATTTTATGTATTACATTATACATTTAAAAAGTTAACTAACTTCCGTCTAATTCGAGCAATGTTTGTTTTATTTAAAATTCAGCTGCGGCTAAACAGTTTAGGGATCTTTCCTGTGCTATCGACTAAAAGTAACTCATGCGAATTCCAAAGGTGCGGTTTTGCTTTTAATTCCCTCAAGTTAGCGACAACAGCTGGAAAATGTGGAGCAAAACATATCCTCGATGTTTTACAGTAAACATGTAAAACAAGTGTTATCTTTATCTATAAAGAAAAACAGGAATGGCAGTTTAAAACCGATAAATCGCAGACACATCTCTCTTTTATTGAAAAGAAACAAGCACGCATTTGTGCAATAAAATGAAACATAAATCGCAATTTCCTTTTGAAAAAAAAAGTTTTTACATGGTGCTTGTAACAGAAATTTACTCTCAAACAAGAATAATTTGCCCATTGAATATTATGTAGTCTAATTAAACGTTCACCTGAGTGGATACATTCACCTGAGTGGATACATTCACGTTGATGTCTGTGTGATCACATTCGGTTATTCTATTCCCGAAACCGAATACATTCTATATGTACAACAACTATGCTTCTTAAGAACTCAGAAACATAATAATATAGAACCGTTTCTAAATAACAAAATAACTGCAGTAGAATGACTTATTCTGTGAATTACCACCAGCATGAGGGAGAAAATTTGAGAAATTTCCGACATATACGAACAGTGACGATTTTTTTTTTGCAAGATGGTTAAAGAACATGAGGTACACCCATTCGCTATAATCTAAAGCACCGATATATAACTTATAAGACATTAATAGGAAAACATTTGAGATATATATAGGCAATCTGACAACAGTAGACAGTTGACTTCATTTCGAGGGAAGAGCTTTTGGAGTTTTGTTTCCCTTGAGATATAATCACGTACATTTGTAGAAACGATACATAATCCATCGTCAATTTAACGACTATGCGGAATAATGCAGGTGAGTCTTTATAGTGTGTGTCAGATCTTGTATTTTGGTCTGCCGAGCGCTGCTCTATCGATTTATTCTATTTTAATTGGAATGTTCATTAGACCAAACGATTTGATAAAGCTTTACATGGTCTCCTAAGTAATGTATCAGGTGTCTAACGTTAATCGGTGGCACGTGGTTTAAAAAATATGTAGGTCACATCAGTGGGAGTTTAAACCCGGTGGCATTTCCCCTAGTGCGGTTATTAATGCCATCTGAATCCTGATGGGCACCAGCCGGCTGGTATATTGCTGGCAAGAGGCGTACAGCTCTGGCACATAATTGTAACACATTATGTAGTCCACATAATAGCACACTTGGTCCACTATGTATCATGGACTATTAATCACGTTTTCCTTTATAGAATGATATAATGGGCATCAATGGAACCATTCGGGACCTGTTACAATACTGTTACAGAACAACGTTATTGGCTTAAATCACTGGAAACACGCGCCGTCATGCCCAAACGTACACACACAATGTCACCTTGATCTTAAGTTAAAACGGCAATATGAATAGAAATAGATTAAATAGGTTTATTAGATTGGTATAAAACTCGCTTAGACCAAACATCTTTCTTAAGAAAAGTAGAACAGTTTGGACTGATTCTTTTATTGACACCTGACAAAGCAAAACTACAAAAAGACCGTCCTCGTGCTTAAAAATGGTTTCGAGAATTTCAGCTATAAACGAGGTGTTATTCACTAAAATTCAGCACCAAAAGGGTTAAGCTACAACACAGTCCTTGCAGGCGGCAAGTGCCAGCCTATAGCAAGCAAGCACGACTGCCTTCCCATATATGGTAATAAACACAAACCAGCCATAAAATATCAAGCGAGACATTAATTAACTCATTTTAATCCGTTGGATATTGGTAGAACGTGTGTTTAGTTATATATTGTTGGATTTATATAAGTAAATTAGGAACAAGAAAGGTTAAGACACAAGATAGTGCACCACTGTTCTTGAATTCTATTTTCTATGCAGTGAAGAAGAAAATCCGCCCAACTGTCGCAATGCAACAGCACGGAAGCTAATTTCCCCATTTTCTTTATCAGACCGACCTTGAGCTACGCTAAATGCCGAAATGACAGCATTCTGTCGATGTATTAGGTTTATGCACCTTGTCTCATCAAAATGTTTGTCGTAAAGTAAAATGGATCACCACCCAAAATAAAACCCACCCAAAGAGCTATAATTTATCCAATTGGTTACTTTTATTTATAATGTATTATATCAAATTTTTTACAACAGATTTCTGTTTTTGGTTTATGCTTTGGTTGAGGGAGATTCATTCATGTCGCTCAGCAAATAAAATAATCTGCGCCGTCAACCATAGTGTTAAGATAGTATGTGTTTCTCACACTTGTGCTATCAGGTGAAATGCAGCTGCAGGGCGAAATTGAAATAAACATTGCAAAATTCCTCGGTGTAACTGGAACCAGTGTGAAGCAATTCCGCGGAAGGGTGACACAGCAAAGCGTTATCTTTATATAACTCGCGGAACACTGTCAGGTGATACTGTTGTTTTCCCGCATCTTGAGTACATTCGTTTCCTAAACAGATTTACCCATAGCAACTCTATTTACATGTATTTAACATTTAAATATCTCCATTACTCATTGATTTGGACATATGGATGGTTTGTCCCTATTTAATTCAGGCAGACATATTTGATTTTATGGATACTGCTGTGATTGGTTAATAAGGCATTTTGGTGCCAAATGGCGAAGGTAAAACTAATCATTTTAAATCCACATTTCAATTACATGTGACTGTAAGTTGTCAAGGCCACATCATGAATAAATGTCAGCAATCTGCATATATTCTAAACATCAAAAGGCTTCCCCGAGGCTCTACAGAAATACTTCTGTCGGGAATGTCATGTGGAAGCGAAGCTGACGAATTGATTGGCATCACATTGGAACCCATCTGCGGCAGCCCTCTTACTCTGCCGCTGCAGCTCCCTTCCACGGATGTATGTCGATCTGTCCTAACCATATTAACGCTCTCTCGCCGCCCATTTCAACACGTTAAGTCGCAGTAAGTCATATTTCCTTCGACAGTTAAAAGTGCACAGCGCCTCTTATCTTTCATGGCGAACACTGTAATGTATTGGCACGAGTCACCATTTTGGAATAAAAAAGGGACTCATACATTTCCCGTTGTCTGCGTTTGACCTTCAGTTGTGGCAAGAACCCGATTACGTCACACTCTATGCAAAACAGATGCAAATAGGAAACATTCTAACAACCACTTTCTCTGTATCGCGAGATACCTCGTTTAATGCTTTAGCTGATAGTAAATGGAAATTAATTGTAACATCTGGGTAGGAAGGCTAAACACAGGTGATGTAAGTGTGACTACAACTTGTGTGTGGCTGTGACTGTCACTATCAAAAACACATGGCTTTAGGCAACAGCAGCTTGTCCTTGCCCTTGGATTTAGTGGAAGCAGCTCAGGGACACAAACCCTGGAGAATCTCTCACAAATAACAGTTGCCTCCTCCAGACTTGTTTTATGACATATGTGTGCTGTGGGTGCTGGGCTAGATAAATGCTTGACCCGCCTCTTGGATTCGCCAGTCATATGCATTTCCTTCAGGCCAAAAAAATCCTTAATAATGACAATGATTAGAGAAGGAGATGAGTAGAATCATACCAGGAAATGACACAAAGCTTGAGATCTCCAGCACCAAAGCCGCAAGATATAAATCAAAATGTTAAAAGTTTCAAACTTTTTCCAAAGATTTTAATTACAGTTAAAAATAGTTTCTTGTTAAATAATCTTATCTGATATTTTTATATTTTATGTGTTATGTAATATTTATGAGTTTAGCTAGAGCAGTTTAGATGTAATATCTAAAACACACAGTTCCCAAGTCCAAAAGTCCAAACGGCTGCCTAGCATAACATGTGCTGCATTATAAGGAGATGCGGAACATGTGCTGTACCCACTTAAGGCCACGTCTGCTGTCCTGTGCATCAGAAGTTCCTTTGCCCAAGGTCTCTATTTCAAGGGACAGTTGCTGAATTGCATTTACATTTGCTCTCTGAGAAAGTTCATTTGAGGGCCATCCATATCCAGGACCATCAACGTACAGCTCTCCTGGATCTATGCATTTCATCGTTTGCAGACAGAAACACACTTCAGTTGAAATATAAACTTTAATATATTTCCCCCCCCCCAGCATTCACCTTTGCTTAATTCAAAAAGGTGATACAGAGTTAAAGGGCACTTTTGCAAAACTGATACTTTCTTTGCCCACAGCTCACACTCACCCTTTGAGGAAAAACTGGAAGTCAAACCTGAATATAATTAGAGATTAAATTTACCTGTTTATTTACTTATAATGTACAAGTGCTATTTATTAACAATGTAATCACCCAGTTTACATTCTACCTTTCCAGTTGACATTTAAGTAAAAAAAAACTATGCAAAATTCCATAATAATTTCAGTAGCGGAATAACTAACATATCTTATGAGATTTCACTGTTTGATGATCATATTGTCTATTCATTAACATGCCATCTTGTATTTGATGTCGCTTGGCTGTGTTATGACGAATCTAAATATCTCTAGCCCCATAATAGTTGTATATGCCTTTCAATACAACATCATCTGAGCAATAGTTTCAGTTCCCATGCATTGAACACCCTGCATTGAACTAATGTATGTTCATGCATTCTCTAAATCTGCACCTGTGCTGCAGGATGTAGAGTTTAACAATACATTTTAATTCA